GTAGTAGTAGTAGTAGTAGTAGTAGTAGTGGTAGTGGTACTAGTAGTAGTAGTAGTAGTAGTAGTAGTAGTAGTAGTAGCAGTAGCAGTAGCAGTAGCAGTAGCAGTAGCAGTAGAAGTAGTAGTAGTAGTGGTAGTAGTAGTAGTAGTAGTAGTAGTAGTAGTACTAGTAGTAGTAGTAGTAGTAGTAGTAGTAGTAGTAGTAGTACTGGTAGAAGCAGTAGAAATAGAAGCGAAACGTACAGCAGTAGCAGTAGCAGCAGCAGTAGCAGTAGCAGTAGCAGTAGCGGTGCGGTAGCAGTAGCGGTAGGAGCAGTTGTAGTATTCGTCGTCGTCGCCGTCGTCGTAGTTGTAGTCAGCAGTAGCAGCAGAAGGAGGAGCAGAAGCAGAAGCGGGAGCAGGAGCAGGAGGAGGAGCAAGAGCGGGAGCAGAAGCAGGAGCAGGGTGGGATGGCGGGTGGGCGGGTAAGCGGGTGGCCGGTGGGGGGGGGCGGGCAGGGAGCTGGGTGGGTGGTTGTTTTGGGTGGTGGCAGGAGCAGCAGTCGCGGTGGCGCACTCAAATATAGAGCGGCAGCTATCGGCACCCTCGGCACTTCGCCTAGTTGCTTCATCAGGGACGTGGTGTTTTGGAGTTGATGTTAACCCCGAATGTGCAGCTGCAAAGCTCAAACTTACCACCAGAAGCAAAAAGCAGCCAAGAACATACATCCTCGAGAAGCCACATGGAACACCTTGAGAACCTTCTAACCCTGCCAACACAGTAGCACGCGCTTCCGGCAACTTTGCTTCAAAACTGCTTTTGGGACTGCTAAACCCGTCGAGAGCGATCAACCGCAACTCTGTTTCGGACCCGATCCCAGACCAAACGCCGAAAATTGAAGCAGCACTAGCACTAAGCTCGGGTGAAACCGTGCCAGACAAAACAACTCGAACCCTGAAGTACTGCTACAGTCGAGCCATCCAGATTCAAGCACGGCGCAAGCCCAGTGCCTCGGCCCAACGACCAGCGCCCGAGGATGCAGCGGCCGCTGCGTTGCAAAGCACTGCATCCCGGCGCAGCTGTGTGCCTTGCGGCTGAAAGGCTTTAGGGTCCAGGCGCCAGGGTTTTGAGGCTTGCGCCAAGTCCTGAAGACCCTGAGCACGCGAAAACTCGAAAGCTGCCAAGTGCTGCCGGCTTATTCGAAGTATACTGTTCTAGCCACAAGAACCACAATAGGTTCGCTGTCCAAACGAGGCTCCTAATCCTAGCATTGTGGCCGCTGGTCAAACTCGTCACTTCGTGTGCCCAATCGTACTCTGCAAGACCTGCCCCAACCTCTCCGTATGTTGTAAAAGCCCTTACGCCCTGCGGAAAACCCTTTCGTCATGGCGCCGCTCATGTGCCGGAGAAGCATGGACACTTGTCGCCACTGACCTCTAGATCGTGCTGCCAATAGACTGGTTTTAAAGGCTTGGGTTTAGGGCTAGCAGTCAGCTTTGCGTTTTTTTGCGGGCTCTTTTTCTCCTCGCCTGAGCTAGAAGGTATACTGGCTGAGCCAAGGGACTTACCCATTTAGCTTAGTAGGTTGCGGATCTCCTGAGGATTCTGGGGTTAGGCCTTTGGGTTCAGTGTATAGAAAGGGAGCTAGGTCTGCAGGGTTAGACTGCTTAGAATCTGTTTAGGGATAGTTTGAGGCTTCGGGATTCCGGGTTACGAGTACCGTAGACAGACCAACCACAACGCATTGCAGGTTTCGGACTGCCTTCGGGTGTCAGACAGGTTCACGTGTCTTTCCCGCTCTGTGAAGGCTTCGCGAACGTTTGAACACCCTCAACTCTAAACCTGGTCCGGCTTGCAGCTCTGTCACTAAGGTTTTCGCAGGCGCTGATGGCAGAACTGAAGCCTTCTGGGAAAGCGCTAGAAGACCAAGGTTAAGAGTTAGGGCTTCGGGGGCGACGGATTGAGGGCTTGGAGGTTAGAGATTTGTGTTTTTGTTGACGGATCTAGGGTTCAGGGCTTTACAATCTAGGGTTGACGCGGATTCAGTCGAACAGGCGATGCTCAGGAATCGGCATGCCGTTCGATAACAGACTGAAGATAAGGTCTGCCTGATAGGCTACTGGGATCTACTGGGCTTACATGCGGTTCTGAAAACCGCATGTTCGAATCACCCAAGTTAAGCCAACATCCGTGGCAGAAGGTTGCAGTCATGTAGCACCTTCCGAAACTATGCACCAAAGAACTTAAGTATATGTCTGGGGACCCAATTCGAAACCCTCCTCCCCTTCAGACCGAAGAAAACACGGACCCTCTGTCGGCCTCGGGTGCTCGTAAGGCTTTGAACTTGCATGCCTTAGCCATCGCGGTAGGCTCAGCATGTAGGGTTTAGGGAGTGTCTATACACTCGGGCCTTGACAGGAGGACGCAAAGCTTTGAACATGTTTGAACCTAGGACGTATGGATTCCAAAACCAAAAACCCAAACCGCCAGATTCTCATGAAGAGACTTCGCAGCCTGAAGAAACTCGCAACAGAGTAGATCTCAACGGCATGCACGTCTCCCCCTACGGCTCGGCTTCATGCACCGCTTCACACGACGTCTGGGTAAAGCTAGAATCCTAGAACAACCCCAGTCCATGAGGTCGAGACCTTGGCTTGAACTCGACAGGCCTAAGCCCTTAGCAAAGGCGACCCTCTGCTCACGAAGCTCCCGAGGGCCACCAAGCTGCTAGCACAGAAGTGCAGGGCCAAAGTCCTGACGTCTTGAAATTTGCAGACTCAAGAAGGACCATTTCACCTGGACTAGCAGTTTGAGATTCAGAGTCTCAGGACACGTAGGGTTCACTGTTTTTAGATACTTCTCCACCTGACCTGAACTCAATCAAGTGTCCAGAAGATCAGGCCATGCACCCGACATTCAACTTGTGCAGTTTGGTCTATGCCAAGGTTTCTACCGTTCACAGGATTGGGGGCTTCAGGGGTTTCCGACGAGGCTCTGCTCTGAGTCAAGCACTTTGCCCGAAGCTGGACAAAAAACAAGGGAAGCACAGTGACCGCGTCTAAGCTGAACGAGCCTGACGGACAAACATGTGTACACAATCACTCTGTCACTGGCTGTCAAATCTTGGGTATGGCGAGCACTGCGCGCGCCTGAGCCCCAAGCAAGGTCGGAGCTTCAGCAGCCGCTGATGTTGTTCCTTTATCATTGCTATGTCAATGTATAATCATCAGAACATGCCCTGAAACCTTCTTCATTGGTCATATGTTCAGATCTCTATACCCTCAACGCCCCCCCACCCCCCACCCCCCCCTCCAGCCCAGCCCCCAGTCCAGTGATGGGCACGCTCTGCACGTTGCGAGGCTGCACCCAGAGCGACTCGGCTGGCCTGCGGCTGCCGGAAAACAGTAGCCTAAATGCCTAAACTTCGCCTTCAACCCGTACTTCAAATCTAGAACCCTGCACCGGGACTCTCCCAGCACATCTTGCATCCGAAACATCCACGAATCCACGATGACTATGATGGATCTACTACACATGCCCAGCAGGTGCTTCTAAACTGCAGAAACCTTCATTAAGCCCAGCACGAAGTCAGTGCTCTTGCGGATTTCGTAATTTCGGTTTAGGAAGTTGAGAGACTTGCCGAAGTCCCCGAAATCCAACTACGTGTTTCTGACAATTTAGACCCCAAATACACCACGACAAAGGCTGCAGCGTTCCACACTACACAGTCAACTCGAAAGGTTTTAAACCGGTGCACAGGTCCTTGTGCCCAGACCCCTTGATGACAAGGACCTATATGTCTCCTGCCCGAACCCGAAGGCGTAACGTAAGAACCTTGACACCAAAACCCCAGGCTCTATGCACAAAACACGAGAAACAAGCCATCGCCCCTACAAGGACCTCCAGGGTCTCGTCCTGTAGCATGGCGAGGAAGGCTACTGCACCTCACAAGCAGGTCACATGGGCCCCGTAACTCTTAAAATTTACAGGGTTGAAACAGGATGTTTCTGGGACCTATGTAGCACTGTGTTCATGTTCCTTCCTGCGCATTTTCAGCAGGCTCTGCAGGGCTCGGGTGTCTTTCTCTGGTGGCCCGGTGCATTTTTTCAACGGGTTTCGGGAACAAGTCGATGTTGCGTTTCGGGTATCGGTCTATTTTGGGAAATTGAAGCCAGGCTGGAAATGTCGTCATCAACTCTTGACATATGCCGCTTGGGAGGTTCTCCTTTAACTGTAAGCGCCCAAACCCGAACTGGACCCCGACGCACACATCACTCTCCTTCCCTGGCGTTTCAGGGCAAAGGCGACAGAACTTGCGGCCGAATCCAGGCTGGGATCCTCTGCCGCTACCGGGTTGGGGTGTGTTGTGGCGAAACAGGTGTAAAAACCAAGGACCCTACAGACTGAGCCTAGTGGACAGAGGGCTCGGGCGGCGGCCTGGTTTGGGGTTACTTCTGTCTCCTACTCTGACAGCTGGGGCTTTTCGGACGTGGCGCCTGAGTGAGTTGGATTAAAAGCAAGTCTACATCGACTGAGAGGCCAAGGTCAAGGCCTCACGCTGCGCCTCGAACTCAAGCAAAGCCTCCAGCATCCAGAATCTGTTTTTCCAGCACTCCTGCCCAGCACGAGCCTTCAGGACATGGTCGACGGCCTCCTCGGTGCTCATGGAAAGCAAGATCAGGACAGCCACCAAAGCCGCGGTGGAGCGGTGGGTTCCCAGGTAGCAGTGAAAGAGAATCTGGATCTGCTCCTGGTTCTCCGACTCTGCGGTGTGTCGTTGTAGCGCTTTAACCACTGCCGACCAGATGCCCAGAAACTCTTCCTTCTTTTGCACCCACTTCTTCGATCCGGGTTCCAGGCCGCTGATGTCAAGGCCGCCGACCCGGAAGTTCTGGACCCCCTTCTCGGATCATCTGCATTCATGGTAAGCACAAGGTCCAGCTTGTATTTCTCATGAAACTTTTTGGCGGACGTGATGCTTCCCAAATAGAAGCGGTATTTCTCGTTCGCAAAGACCTCGACCATGTCCAGAGGCCATTGATCGATGGAGTCTCTGTAGTTCAAGCCCTTGCTGGCATTGTGGATCCGCCAATCCTCCTTTGTCCACTCCCGCCGGTAAGCTTGGGCCAGGCGCCCTTTCAGCCTCTCAAGCCGCTCCTGGATCTCCTCCGCTACCGCTGGCGGCCCCTCCATGAAGTGCAATCGGTAGGTCACAAACCCGGCTCCGGCCCTCTTATAAGGGCGGCTTATGGCTTGTCCATTTGCAGTCTTGTGATGACCTTTTACGGAGGATCTCAGAAGAACATACTGCTACAAGAGGGCCCTCGGCTTTGAACAAAAACATCTGGCACAAACTGATGTGGACACAGCCCGAGGCATCGAAACCTTCAAGCGTGACTTTGGGGGAAAGAAACGAATTCCATACCTATGGACATGACACCTGCAATTCGCAACAAGCTTGTGGAGACATGTTGGGCTTTGGGCTGGATGCTTCCAGACAAGCATTATGGAACTCTCTGCCAGGCAGGGCCAAGGACACAAGCAGGTGCCCTGTGCTTCATGCTGAGGCTGAAATCCAAAAAAAAGCGAAGTCCGACAAACAGTGCAACCGGCTGCGAACCCAAGCCCTCCGTTAAGATACCACAAACATCGACACTGCCAGACTTCCACGGTCTGAAGAAGCTGAAGGTCCCAAAAGCCCAGGGCACCAGGCAGCAAAGAGGCAAACATCGCCCAAGTTGTAAACCTGCGCGACGCAAAACCTGAAGGCCCTGAAGCCCCTGAAGGTCTCCATGCCGGCGCCTCTCCAAGAGCTGACAGGATCCCTGGCTGCTAATGCCAGGCCGAAGCTGAAGATGTCGGGGCGGTAGCCGCTCCTTGGGGCGGAGGGCCTAGGGAGTCTCAGGGTCCTAAACAGAGACACTCGACCCTTCACCCACACTGTTCTCTGTGCAAAGCCATCAAACTCCACCAAAGTGGGGCAACCAGCCTCAGTCCCTAGGAGCTGGATTGGTGCAGATCTGGAATTCGGCTTTCGCGTTGAGGGTGCAGGACTGAGGGAGGTAGAAGATACAAGTCAGGGATGTCGCTGGCTTTGTAATCTGGTACTTGTAACTTTCGCTGCGTTGAAGCATAGGTTCAGTAGATAGATTAGCACAGCGACACAGCAAGAGCGGTACATCCACCTCCAAAGAAAGTGGGCGCATTATGCATGCAGCCTGAACTAAGCCCGTTACATCCCCTTACCCAACGCCCCCTGCATGAAAAAAAACCTGCCCAGGTGCTGCCTGATGCCATCCAGGCATGTCACCACCTCCTGCCAACGGCCCGCGCTGTGCATGGCCCCTGGCAGTTCGTTGAGTACGAATCTGCAAGAACCAGTAAGCACACACATAGGCCTTTAAATATTTGCACGAATGCAGAGGGACAATGTAGCTCATATGAGTAGTAACAAAAACGACACCTGCACTTTGCAACCAGGCAACAACAACAACAACAACAACAGCAATGACGACGACGACGACCACGACCACGACCTCGACCGACGACGACACTAATGGTACACAGGTGCAAGACACAGTATATAACAGGAGCACTAGCAGTTATAGTGCTGAACATAACCATAACCCGAAATCATGGAGGATGAACATGGATCTCATGCTGATGCGCAGACCACCAATAAAGCTGCAGCGATGACAATCATCAGCAGGCATCATGATGCTAGCAATCTTGGTAACAATGAGATTTCAATATCGCAAGAATTCAGAATACCAACAGCAGCCCACCATCGTATGCTGCTAGTGGTGAGACTGGTTAGTGAGACTGGCAGCTCGCACATATTAGTGTCAATATGCCACACTGTAGTCGATATATGACATTTGCACTGCCGATTTCCCATGCTTGTAAGCCAACCACCGCCGCACCGACGGAAATCTTTTTTTTGGCATGTGACCTGTGTCTCTGCCGTTCTGTCCGACAGAACCCTGCGCCTGCTCATTTCCGTTCCTTCTCTCTCTCTGTCTCCGGCTTTCTCATGGAGAGGCCACTCTACACAGATGCACCTCTCGAGACCTACAGGCCTTCGCACAAGCAAAACCTCAAGGTTCAAGGTTTTTTCTATCACGGCATTTGACTTTGTCGCAGTTGAGCGAACCTTTTGCTCGGGACACCGGCCTAGCAAGCGATGGTGAGCCACCAGCTGCACTTCTACCTCAAGGTTTCGGCAAGGTGGCTTCAACGACATCACCATCCGTTCTAGAGAGGCATGTGATGAGCACATCCATAGATACGGGCAAGCTGCATCCCTCACAATGCCCTGGCAGACATATCGGAATCGTCTTGCCGCTGAGCGATCGCCTAACAGAAGACACAGCTACGGATCCAAATCCACCCACACTCTTCCTCCCATCCCACCCTGGGAAATTTCTACCCTCGCAGAAATCCAATCCGCCTGCACGTCCCGCAGCGCCCGTAGCAAAGCTGCGGCATCGCGCCAGGCGCCGGTTTGAGCCAAGGTGCCTGAGAGCTTCAGATGGTTTTTTTAGAGGGCTGAAGGAGTTCATGTGTGTTTGTCGAAGGCCTGGGAACACCTCACCATGAATGCTCTTACCACACACCAAAATCAACACAAAATAATGGGTCTTGACACCTTTGTCGTAGTAGGTTTAGCTTCTCTGCAAGGACTCTGCCCTCTGTGCCTGCCAATCCCAGACACAAGCCTGTCAATGCGACTGCGTTGGCACATGGCCTGGACTCTGGACCCCTCCCAATATCAGCCGAAGTAGCTCAATGCCGTGAAAGCTGGAATGACGTCCTTGGATGACGAATCACAGGTGCTCTTCCGCGGTAGAGTTGATGTCGTCTTATGGAGGGTGCGAAAGCAGGGTGTTGGGGAAAAGGACTGCAGGTGATGAGTTCACATGTTGTTACGTTTCCAATAGGAGCTATTGCTTGAAAAGGGACCCTGATCTGGAAGAACCCTCAACTTAAACAACACCTGAAACCCCAAAGCTCACCCCCATTAACATTAAAGACGGGTCCACTATACATACCAACATATCTACACACGCCTCTCAAGCTACAACTTCGAGATGAGATGCTGGCTCTAGTCGGAGGGCGCGAAGCTGCCCGAAGACCTTCTGCAGTGCGTCGTAATCTCCCGAACGAGCAAAGGCTGCCACGCAGCGCTGGCCGGTGTCCAGTGCTTCTGAAGGGTTCTCCACCTGGCACACGTTAGACGTAGAGAAGGCCTTAGAGCTTAAGTTAGAGTTTAAGGGTTGCAATGATTCAGGATTGTTTAAGGGATAATAAGGGCCTGAGGTATAAAAGTTTCGGATTGGAAAATTGGAATCCTTAGCAGCATGCAAAGAGTAGTTCTGCGGGCGCAAATATCGCCGAGACTGTGCGGTTTCTTGCATTCCGATGCTTGTATATTTATGTATACATATATACACACACATACATATGTACATACATGCACAGTAGTCTATCAAAGAACGGCACACCAGAAGGTCCTTGCCTGTGAAGCTGCCAAGGTCTCTGTCACTTGGACAAGTTCCCCTACTCAGCAGTGATCCATAGATCCCCATACTAGAAGCTTGTTACATAAGCCCAAGGCCCAACAAGAGTCATCCTGGTAACGAATCCATGTTCAGGGGTGCGGGCTCAGGGCAGGATTGCTGGATGTGTGCTGCACTGCTGCACTGTGGGCCAAGGCACTAGCCGTGCAAGGTACTGCAGAGTTTGTCGCCACGGAGAGGGCTTCTCCTCGTTGGTGCGTGCAACATGGTCGTCTCGATCCTACACGGCGGTTTGCGCATGCTGCGCGCTACCACTACCACGAGTCCTGTTGGCATGAGTCAGCTGCAGTGTTCCGCGAAGATGCGAACATCGACGCATTCTGGGAAGCTGTGTCGACTGCGGCATGATCACAAGAACGACAGGGCTATGGACATGGGCCGAATACTCCAACATGTCGAGCAATCGTCCCCACGTACACGCCCTTAGAGAAGGAGGGACGACTTAAACCGAGTACTTATACGTTCTGATGGTTCGAGATTTTGGGCTCAAGCAATGCATGGGCTTCACAGTTCCCTGGTACAGGCGTGCACCAATGTACCACGTGTATAAGGATCAAGCCCAAAACACCAGAGCCGTGAGATTCCCACGCTCTAACTCGCCAGACAGGCGCAAACGTACTCTTCAAGCCGGTTTAGTCTTGTGCATGAGCCTCTTATCCTGACAAATCATGACAACCCCAGTCGTGACTATTGAATTCCCTTTATCAGCATGCCTCAAATGTCTGAGACAGCTAATCTCGATATTTTGGATGGACCTGACGTCGCAAATTTCGCACTAATTCTGACCTCGCTCGAATTTCAGCAGTGTGTGTCTTTCATAGCTCAGTAAAGTGTAAACTTTGAAAAGTAAGCTCTGAAGCCCGCAGACCCAAAACTCCCGGGGCGGCTCCCAGGGCCGAGCGCAGCCCTGAGGGGAAACACGGCGCAGGGCTGCAGCTGCCAAGAGCGCAACGCACCTCTGCGTAGCAGGCTGGGCTTCAGAAAATTATGGTTTGAAGCAAGTGGTTATAGGGTTTGTAGGTTTCGGGGTTTTGGGAGTTTTCAGAGCTGTCGGCGTGGGCAAGTTCCAGTTTTCGCTATCATGATTTCAGGCTTAAGCTTAGGAGGGTATACGGTTCCTAAGCTCCCACTTCTTCAATCCTCAACCCGAAAGCACGAAGCCTCAAACCTCCAACCACCAACCCTGCTGAAAGGCCTGGCAGCCCCCAAACGACGCCGAATCTTTCAGAGTCCGCCGATGTTTCAGTGTTGGGACTCTCTTACATATCCCATCTTAAATGTTTCACTAGTGGCAACGCTGCTGACATTTGTGCACGTAGGCCCTGGGCAGTTCCGTTTACCCCACCTGCCCTGCAGTTGTCATGCAAAGGGGTTTCGACTAAGAGCCGCCCCAATGCCCACTACACACCTCTTGGAACTTCCTTCCTTGAACTCCTGGTTCGTCTCGTCTTGCCTGCACCAAATTCAGTTGATCAGCTGGTGACGCTTCGCGTCTAGCTTCGTGGATGCTTCCAGGCCCGTGAAGTTGTCAAGCGAACTGCCGTACGAAACCTAAGCCCAGGCACTGGTACCAGGAGCCAGCGGCCGCTGCAAAGCCCAAGCTCTGCTGCCAGAGTCCTGCGAATCGTCCAGGGTTCAGGCTGCAGCAGTCTAGAATTCATGGTCTGGTTGAGGGTGGAGGTTCACGGCCTACCTGCATACCTGGGCCGAAGAAGGGCGGCGGCGGCAGTGACGGTGGCCGTGGGGGCGGCGTTGGCGGCGGCGGCGGTGGTGG